TCATAATATATTCTCTATCTTTGGTCGGTTTGTGGTCTTTTTGCTATGCATAATACCCTTGTTTTGTATCCCTCCCTTTTGCATAGAAATGCACCTTCTATTTAGGCTTCCATGCTTGCATGATTTAGCTTAGCTTGTTGAAGCTTCTTTCGGTCATGAATTGTCATGCTTAAGTCTGTTGTGGCCACTGTTTTGTTCATGATTGACATGCTTGATGTAGTGCTTTGCATTTTGGCTTGTAGGCTTGAGTATTTGGCTTCTAGCATGCTTAACTTAGACTATCCTCATGTGATTGCATTATTTAAGATCATATTTCAGTCCATTAAGGTGGTCTTATATTGTCATTTTGTGTCCTTTCTATGCTTTAAGGTGTTGTAGTTTTGTGCCTTGAAATGGCTTGTGCATGCTTGTATGTTTAAGACATTTTGGGCTACCATATCAGCGGGTTTTTGGGTGTATTTGCTGCATTGAACATCTGTTTTTGGTCACTTAGTCCATGCCATGAATGGTCATGATGATCTGTAGAGAATGCTCCTTGTTTGTTGCCTAGCTTTGGCCCCCTTGCCTTGCATGTTGGCAACAGTCGGCTGCATTGACACAGTCGGAACAGGAAAGATTCGAAGATTCCGAGAGAATCAGGAAGGCAAAAGCCTGAGTGCTTGTTCACTATTTTGGACACTTTTTGGTCACTGTTTTGGGATGGACTGAGGTCTGCCCTTCATGGTTTAGCACCACTATTGCATGATCATGTTGCATTGTTTTGGTCCTCATGCTTACATTGTATCATACTTGCATGTTGGCATGGCATTTATCTAGTTGCATCACATACATTGTACCATACTTGGCACATTTAGAATGCACTAACTTAGTTTGCATGTTTAGGTTGCATTACATTTGGTATGTTTTGCATTTTAACCTCATGTTGTGCATTTGAGCCAAGTTTGTATATATGCATTGCATCGCTTGGTTTGGGGTGTCAAACCGGGCATGGGGATTGAGGGGTGCTTGTACTTCAAGTGACAAAACACGCCTCAACCCTCGGTCGCCAATCCCCTTGACTCCAATGTGATAGGGTATTGGTATTCACGTGTTTTGTTTGCATGCATTTCACATTGAATTGCAACCTCAGCCTCTTAGGCCATCATGCATCAAAAATGCACAATTGATGGCCCGAAGGTTGAGGGTCACGCTCCCTTGAGTCCCTTGCATGATTGGGAGTGTGACCAAGCTCACATTTGCCCAAAATTCCATGCCATGTACTGCTTTGCCCTCTGTTGCTGTCAACTGCAGGTCCCAGTAGGAATTTGTGGCCGATCGGCAGTGTTTAGTGCCGACCGGCAAAGAATATATGGCCGATAAACTTGAAAGAAGCCGATGGAAATTTCCCATGGCCGATGGTTATTTCTCTTAGCCGATGGCGTTCTACAGTGTGCAGAGAACATATTCCAAGACTTTGGCAATTTTCAGAGGAGCAGGGCAGCATCAACAGAGGCAGCAGTGGCATGGTATGGGTTTCCGGGCAAGATGGATCGAGCATGCATCATTCGCGTATCCCGAGGCAGGGCTGTGGCCATCCCTATTCTGCATTTAATTTGTTAAATTAGAGGGTTTATAATAAATTAATTAGCTAGGATAGGTAATTCATTACTCGGATTGTATTATTCTTTTGATCCCTCCGAGCAAGGGCAAATTTGTAATAAGCGTGGGTGCGTGTGTGCATGTCTTCCAATCCCACGTCTTTCTTCCCTTTTATTTACCTGCTTATGATGGTAGACTAGGGCATATTTAAATTAGCATAACAACATGACAGCAGGTTTGCATTCATTCATCTGTTTCGAATGCACCGGGCTCGGCGCATCATACTAACTGCATCGTATTTTCAATCCCAAGTTGAGTACATGTTATTTGCAGCATTTCACATGCCATGTTTAGGATAGCCGAGCCTGTTTGGATTGCATCTTTGCATGTGTTGCATTAGCCATTTCAAAACATGAACTAGGATCATGCATGTGATAACTAACTGGTTTCTGTTTTGGCTTGGAGTACTAGGTGAGCTTTTATGCTTTAGCATGCCGCATGCGTGTGAGTATTGCCATAATTGCATGATTATCATGAGGCTAGCTGCTTATGTGATATAACTGCTTGAATGCTTGTGGATGGAGGTCGAATTGCTTAAATTGGAATAACGCATTAAAACTGTGAATTTTAAGCCCACTAGATAGTGGCAAAGCCATCTTTTCTAAAAGCCCACTTGAGGGTGGCAAAACCTGCATTTTAGCCTACTTGCGAGTAGCAAACCATTTTACCAGCCCCTGAAGGGGAAGCCAACAGCGTCCAGCTCCCATTGACTGACCATGGTGACAACATTCCCCTCTGGGACGCTGAACTCCGAGCAATGAAGCTCCAACTCCAAGGGGTCATGCAGAACACCAGGAGAGGGAGCAGCCCAGGAGGGCGTTTTCCCGCACTAGCCGAGGCAACTTTGGTGGATGACGGACACGTGGCCTTTGGCACCGAGTCAGGGTTTCCTAAATTCTCCCATAATAAAATATTTAGATGGCGACTCTGTATCTGGCAAAGTAGTCCATGTTTGGCACTTCTTTTCTAAAAATCTGTTTTCTCAAAACGATTTGCCGAATTTGGACTCTTTGGTTTAGATTTAGAACCGTGACACAAATCGAGTCCGAGCTGTAGCACGAAGGCCTCACGTGGGCCCGTCTACAGTTTCTGGCGACTCTACTGGGGAATTAGAGAGCTTGACTCGAACTCGTGATATCCTGTTTTGATTTCATTTATGTGTTTCTTTGCATTGCATGTGCATTGGTGCGCCTAGGACACCGTGTTTGCCATCTGCCATTCCTAAACGGTTTGCCGGAGGCTTGTCTTGTCAAGACATGACCATAAGGCTGACCGGTTATGGGCTCTGACAGTATGGGAACACAAACCCCGGTTTTACCGGGGCACCCTTTTCGACCATTCGACCTAGTGCATATTCGGATCCATAGTGACCATTCCAAGCTAGGACAGGTTGCTTACCCGATTATAGGTTGTTTGAAAACTGCGGCGTGCATAGTGAAACCCTAGCTCCTGACAAAATAGGACAGGGAAACCCTACCCCAACATAGGGGTGTTTTGGCTCTCACTTATCTGATATGTGCTTTAGAGTGTATCTCTATAGGAAAATACATACGAGTTTGCAAGTTTGAGTATCAGGCCCGAGGGCACCAGTATCAGTGTTGTTGAGAAATCGGTTATCCGCGGGTATTAAGTTCAGTTTTGGGAACAATAATTTTGGGGAACAGTGATCAGTATCGAGGAACAGTGTGTTCGGCTTACCAACTGTGTGTTATGAATACCCAACTGCGCGTTGTATGTGTTTATTTTACGCCGTTATGCTGTCCGATTGTCTAGTTATTTATTGCTTTATTTATCTTTTTGCTAGGTAGTTTAGCACAATTGCTTCCAACCCGGTAGATATTCCCCGAGCACTCTGGATTAGAGGTCGTCGGCTCCATCGATCTGAGGATCTGGTAGAAGGACAACCAGTGTACCACTCTCTATCCCCGGTTACCAGACGGAGGGCAGTTAGGCAGAGGATATCAATTCAGCAGTCAGTACAGAGGGCTTTGTCTACCCCACCAGAGTACAGTAGGGATTAGGGTTCTGTTTCACCCACAGAGAGGGAACATATACCGATAATTCAGTCAGAACAGAACGGTATGGCTAGTTTAGAGGAGATGGTGCGCCAACTCCGAGAGAGCATGAAAGTGATGCAGCAGGATGCTGTCCGACTGGCAGAGTTCGCCAAACAGCAGGCCATGGTTATGAATGAACAAGCAGAGTTAATCGTGAGGTTACAACAGCAAAACGGAGCATCTGCTTCGCAACAAGTTCCTCCCCCACCAGGAATTCCTACCCCCGGGGAGACAACTATTGTTCAAAATGACACAGACATTCCCACGGGACCACCTCCACCCCCGATCCTACCCCAGTTATCCAAAACACCCACCAACCTACCGGACTCTCCTTTTGAGTTCGAGACAGATCCCACAGCATTGAAGTTGAGCAAGCTCGAAAAGCTGTTCAAAAGATCCCAGGGAGTCTGTCCGACAGGCAGAGTTCGCCAAACAGCAGGCCATGGTTATGAATGAACAAGCAGAGTTAATCGTGAGGTTACAACAGCAAAACGGAGCATCTGCTTCGCAACAAGTTCCTCCCCCACCAGGAATTCCTACCCCCGGGGAGACAGCTATTGTTCAGAATGACACAGACATTCCCACGGGACCACCTCCACCCCCGATCCTACCCCAGTTATCCAAAACACCCACCAACCTACCGGACTCTTCCTTTGAGTTTGAGACAGATCCTACAGCATTGAAGTTGAGCAAGCTCGAAAAGCTGTTCAAAAGATCCCAGGGAGTCAAGACCATCCCTGACATCAAAGATGGGTATACCGATGCAGCCGTGACGCTGCCTAACAGATTCAAAATGCCGCACATTGATCGATTTGATGGGTCCGGGGACCCCATGGTGCACCTGAGATTGTTTTCGGACATCCTAAGGCCAATGGGCCTCACTAGACTGCAGAAGCTGTCTTTTTTTGGCCGGACCCTGTCGGATGTAGCGGCCATATGGTATACCAAATTGGAGGATGACGTCAAGAGAAGTTGGGATGAGATGGCTGAGGCCTTCATCTTGCAGTACTCATACAATACACAAATCGAGATTACGACCCAGGATCTCGAGACAACGAGGCAAGAACCCAAAGAGAGCTTCTCAGAATTCATGACCAGATGGTGGGCTAAGGCTTCGATGATGACCTTAAGGCCCATGGACAAAGACCAGATTCGGATGATTGTGTGCAATCTTCAGCCGAAGTTGATGCAAAAGATGATTGTACTCCCCTTCCCTACCTTTTGTGATCTACATGAAATGGGGGTGCAGATTGAAATGGGGGTGCAAAAGATGATTGTACTCCCCTTCCCTACCTTTGCAGATTGATGGTATCCGAATATTCAACTTGGTTGGCCAACATTGTTCCGGTTCCAAAGAAAGACAGCAGAATCAAAGTTCGTGTCGGCTTCAGGGATTTGAATAAGGCTAGTCCTAAGGACGAATTTCTATTGCCACACATTGATGAGTTGGTAGACTTCACCACCGGCTATGCCTTATTTTCGTTCATGGATGGGTTTTCGAGGTACAACCAGATCTTGATGGTGCGAGAGGACAAAGAACGCCATGGGGTACCTACTGCTATAGGGTCATGCCATTCGGGCTGAAGAACGACGAGGCTACATATCAGAGGGCGGCAACCACAATACTACATGACATGATCCACAAAGAAGTCGGGGGTGTGTGTGGATGACATGATTGTAAAATCCAAAGAGCGAGAAGGCCACTACATCGCGCTGGAGAAGTTTTTTGAGAGGATCAAGGAGTATAGGCTAAGGTTGAACCCACATAAATGCACTTTTGGGGTGACTGTAGAGAAAATGTTGGGTTTTTTTATTACAGAGAGGCATTGAAGTAGATCCATCCAAGATCAAGGCCATCTTAGAAATGCCACCACCAATGACTAAAAAGGAGGTGCGCAGTTTTCTGGGAAGAGTGCAATTCATAAGACGGTTTATCTCTAAATTAACCTTAACTTGTGAACCACTATTTGGTCTCTTGAAAAAGGGAAAGAAGTTCCGATAGGACGATCGATGTCAGTTCTCTTGAGCAAGTTAAGAAGTACTTTCAAAATCCACTTGTGTTGTCACCACCAGAGCTGGGGAAGCCATTGATCATGTACCTGTCAGTGACAGAGTCAATCATAAGATGCATGCTAGCACAAAAATTAGAAGCTAAGGTGGAAAAGGCCATTTACTATATGAGTAAAAACATGCTAGATTATGAGATCCGTTACACTTCTCTAGAGAAGACATGCTTAGCTTTGGTTTGGGCCACTAAGAAGTTAAGACACTACCTGTTAACCTATTCTGTAATTTTGGTTTCGAGATTGGATCCCAATAAATATCTCTTTAAGAAACCAGTACTTACGGGTAGGCTAGCTCGTTGGTTGCTTCTTCTCTCCGAGTTTGATCTCAAGTATGTCACTTGCAAGTTGGTTAAAGGAAGAGCAGTAGCAGAATTTCTAGCAGACCGCCCAGTTAAGGGAGATGAAGATATAGAGTACTTGTTCCCCGATGAGGAGATCTTGCAGGTAGAAGAAGAGACGTGGAAAATGTACTTTGATGGAACGGCTAACCAGTACGGTTATGGAATAAACGTGTTGCTTATAGCACCTGATGATTCCCATATACCCCTAGCTTTCAAACTCCATTTCAAAATATCCAACAATGAAACAGAGTACAAGGCGTGTATTACTGGATGAGAAGATGCCTTAGAACTAGGGGCAATAAGGTTGGACGTCATCGAAGACTCAAACCTAGTTGTTTCTCAAGCTAATAGAGATTGGAAGGTCAAAGAAAAGAGAATAAAAGTATATCACCAGACTCTAGACATTCTGGGTATGTTTGGTTTGTGTTTGAGAGATGTGTTTTAGATATAAAAAGTACGAAAAATTGTTTGGTTTGGTTTTTTTCAAAAGATGTTTTGGAAAATTATTTTGAGAGAGAGTTTTGGAAAAAGTGATTGATTTGATGTGTGTGAGAGAGAGATTTGTTTGGAAAACTTGTTTGGAAAACTTGTTTGGTTTACAAGTTTTGAGAAATTTTTTGGGGAAAATTTGTTTGGTTTGATTACTTTTAAAAACTTATTTGTAGAGAAAATTTCCCAAAATTTTTTCGTATATCACCAGACTCTAGACATTCTGATTCCAAGGTTCGAAAAACTAACATTTACACACTTGTTGAGAGAGAACAATCGGTTTACTGATGTATTGGCAACTCTATCCTCTATGGTAGACATACCGATTGGGGTTAAAATGCGACCGATTATCATTGAATAGAAGTATGTGTAGACACTCCATTTTTGATCGACCTCAAGACTTGGACGTCATCATTTGTGCACTCGATGATTGTGCTTGCTTTGAGCGGCCGAAGTTCTCAGCGGAACGCCTTGTCTTTGAGCCTCTAAACGTTTGGAAAACTTGTTTGGAAAACTTGTTTGGTTTACAAGTTTTGAGAAATTTTTTGGGGAAAATTTGTTTGGTTTGATTACTTTTAAAAACTTATTTGTAGAGAAAATTTCCCAAAATTTTTTCACAAATACAAACCAAACGAACCCTCTGATTCCAAGGTTCGAAAAACTAACATTTACACACTTGTTGAGAGAGAACAATCGGTTTACTGATGTATTGGCAACTCTATCCTCTATGGTAGACATACCGATTGGGGTTAAAATGCGTCCGATTATCATTGAATAGAAGTATGTGTAGACACTCCATTTTTGACCGACCTCAAGACTTGGACGTCATCATTTGTGCACTCGATGATTGTGCTTGCTTTGAGCGCCCGAAGTTCTCGGTGGAACGCCTTGTCTTTGAGCCTCTAAACCCCTTTTGTTTTGTGCTTGTTTTTGGGCCAAACCTTGTTGCCTCGTGCCTGGAAGGGGAAGGGGCCTTGTCGGCCACTTTTTCGCCTTGTCGGCCGCTTTTTGTTCTTGTCGACCACTTGAAGTGGCCGGTCGGCTACTTAGAGTGGTCGACGGCCAATTGTCCCTTTTTTTAGATATTTGTTTGCTATCTGTGCCAGCTATTGCTCACTGAAGTCCATCTCCATACACGTGTATGGAGGGATGAATACAAGCTCTAAGTTTGATTTTCTATATATAGGGGGTGCTCTCCCCCATTTGGGGAGGTTAGATTTTTGGATCAAAATTCTCTCTCTCTCTTCTTGCCTTGTGCTTGATAATTGATTTTCTCTACACCTTTGCACACTAACCCTTAACCAAATTTGACCACCTTAGAGCTAAGGTCCCTTGGAGCTTAATTTGAGCTTTTGGAAGGAGATTTGAGCCTAAAAGTATCCTATTTTGTGCTGTGCTTCAAGAGGTATAAGACTTACCTTGTAGGCTTGGTTTTAATTACTTGCTTTGCCATCTTTTTATACTGTTTTTGGCCTAGTTTTCAACTACAAAAAACTCTGATTTTTGGGCCTTAACATGATGGTTTGTGGTCATTTTGTGTTAAGGGGGTGGTCCACCCTTCTTGTTGCTTATTTGTGTAAGCTTTTGTGCCATCTTTTACCCTATTAACATCAAACATTTTGGGCTTTTAAACCACTAAAATTCAGAGTTTTTCAGTGGTAAAAATCAACTTTTGAAGTCCAAAATAGGAGGGGTTAGCCTCCCCTCCTTGTGTCTTGCTTCTATGCCTAGGTTGCTTCACATGTTAGCTTGATTTTCTAACTTAACTTATCTTAATTCAAGCATGTTTTAGGCTCTATTTTGGCATGTTTCAGCTCTATTTTGGGTTGGTTGGAGCACTTGAGGCTTGCTTTGTGTGCTTGTAGTGTAATTGTTCTTGTTAGTCTAACTTGTGCTATGTTTTGGCCTCTTATGCTAGCTATCTTTAGCTTAATTCAAGCATGTCTTAGGACTCATTTTAGGCTATCTTAGGACTGTTTTGAAGTGTTTGTACCTTTTGAGCTTTGTATTGCATGCCCATAGTGTAATGGTCTTCACTAGCTCATTGTCTGCTTTAAGCATGAAATGCTTGGGTTGCTTGCATATTGTAGTATTATTTTTCATGTAATCTCAGCATCATAATCTCTGCCACATTCTCATTTGTCTCACTTTCAATCACTTTTGAGAGTTGTTTCAAGTTTGGAGTCCTTTAAGCTTGAGATAGAGTTTGTGCTTAATGGTTTTAATCCCCTTTTGGGGGTTTCTACTAACCAACGACATGATCTCTCTCTTGCCTTAAATCATCCCTTGGTTGACACTTCTTTCTCTTTAGAAGACTCTCGCCAATGGACTTAGTCGATTAAAGGATTAATCGATAATGTAAAATAAGTAAACAAAATGAACAAAGTAAAATAGGCAAGATTAAGCATCTTTGTATTGCATTGCACGTGTTCGAATCGGACATTAATCTGAACACAAGAAAAATGGGACGTTTCATACTCAAAGTGATGAAACGTGACACTTTTCTTAGTCACCGTCACCCTTGATCATGCATGATAGGGTGGTGGTCCTTCGAGTCTTATTTGTGCATTCATTAAGCTTGTACAAGCTTGGTTCTCTAGCCATCATGCATTGAAAATGCTTGGTTGATGGTTCGAAGGCCAAGAGTTACCCTCCTTTGAGTTTGTGCAATGATAATGAGGGCAACAGTGCACACAGCATCATAATCTCTGTCACATTCTCATTTGTCTCACTTTCAATTGCTTTTGAGAGTTGTTTCAAGTTTGGAGTCCTTTAAGCTTGAGATAGAGTTTGTGTTTAATGGTTTTAATCCCCTTTTGGGGGTTTCTACTAACCAACAACATGATCTCTCTCTTGCCTTAAATCATCCCTTGGTTGACACTTCTTTCTCTTTAGAAGACTCTCGCCAATGGACTTAGTCGATTAAAGGATTAATCGATAATGTAAAATAAGTAAACAAAATGAACAAAGTAAAAGAGGCAAGATTAAGCATCTTTGTATTGCATTGCACGTGTTCGAATTGGACATTAATATGAACACAAGAAAAATGGGACATTTCATACTCAAAGTGATGAAACGTGACACTTTTGTTAGTCACCGTCACCCTTGATCATGCATGATAGGGTGGTGGTCCTTCGAGTCTTATTTGTACATTCATTAAGCTTGTACAAGCTTGGTTCTCTAGCCATCATGCATTGAAAATGCTTGGTTGATGGTTCGAAGGCCAAGAGTTACCCTCCTTTGAGTTTGTGCAATGATAATGAGGGCAACAGTGCACACATTCCTTGAAAATACATTGCTTTGCCTCTGTTTGCTCTCTGTTGTAGCAAAAAGAGAAGTCCGGGGATGTGGTGGCTAACCGGCCAGTTTTAGTGGCCGACTGCCACTTGGAGTGGCCGACCAGCTAGTTGAGGTAGCCAATAGCCACTTTTTGTAGTCGACCGGCCAACAGTCAATTTTTGCACAAATGTGCTCCTGAGTTGGAGCAGAAGCATTCTGGGAGTTGACAGAATTTTCAGTGATCAAACAAGTGCAAATAGAGGCATTCGTTTGCAAGGCAATGGCATTTTCGGGTGGATCAACCGAGCATGCATGCGTCCCTTGCCCTTGAGGCCATGTAGTCACTTTTGTTAACTTAGAATAAGTTAGCTATTTCATTCATACAAGTGTTGTAATTAATTAGCTTAATCCATTTTGTAATATTTTGGCTAGCTTGGAATAGTTAGTCAATTTACTTCCATTTCGATTTGTAATAATTAGTTAACTAGAATATTTAATTAGATTCATGTTGTAATAATTATCTTAATTAGCGTAGCTAGTTAGCTTATTCATTCGGACCCTCCTTCGCGAGGGCTTAATGTTGTAATAAGTGTGCGTGCGTATGTGCATGTCTTCCAACCCCACGTCTTTCTCCCTTTTATTTATCCGCTTTTGATGGTTAGATTAGAGATCATGTTTCAATTAGCATACCTTATGCTCGCTCGTTTACATCCATTCATTTGTCTTGCATGCACCAAGGCTTGGCGCATCATTCAAATTGTATTGTCAAATTCAATACTTACTTGAATACGTGTTTCAAAGCATGCTATCAAATAGTTGCAAATACCATGATTAAGTAGCCGAGCCTATTTGGTTACATCATTGCATGTGTTGCATTACTCATTTAACATAGTTAGGATCATGCATCTTTCTAACTAGTTTCTGTTTTGGCTTGGAGTACTCAGTGAGTTTTATGCTTTAGTATACTTGCATGAGTGTGATTGCCATATTGCCATGATAGCATGCTTGCCATGAGGCTATTTGCTTAAATGCTAAACTGGATGAATGCCTGTGGATAAAGGCTTTGTTCTTGAATTAGAACAATTCAACGAATGTATATTTTAAGGCCACTTTGAGAAGTGGCAAATCATCTTTTAAGCCATCATGTTTGATGGCAAATCCACGTTTTAGCCAACTTGAGGGTGACAAATTCAAACCATTTTCGAAAACAAACATGAGTTGATTTGTTCCAAGTCTTGCGATTTAGTCTATGCTTGCTTGTGTGTGTCACATAGTAAAGTTAGCTAATAATCGGAACAAGAACACACGAGGTTTATAAAAGATCATATCATGATTAGTAGAGGCCGATCTTTTGATCGGGCGAGCAAGGGTCCTCATTTCAGGACCTTCCCCTCTCGTAGCTAAGTTCCCGAGCTGAGAGAACTTTGGTGATGACGGACACGTGGCCTTTGGCACGAGTCAGGGTTTCCTAAATTTCCCAAAAATAAAATATTTTAGGTGACAACT